CCCGTTGTATGTGAACGTAGAGCCTATCACACCTGATCATCACGTGGTGTCTCAGCACGACAAACTGTTGCAACGGTGCATACTTAGGGAGAACACTTATACCTTGAAATTTTAGTGAGGGATCATCTTATAATGCTACCGTCGTACTAAGCAAAATAAGATGCATAAAAGATAAACATCACATGCAATCAAAATATGTGGCATGATATGGCCATCATCATCTTGTGCCTTTGATCTCCATCTCCTAAGCACCGTCATGATATCCATCGTCACCGTCTTGACACCTTGATCTCCATCGTAGCACCGTGGTCGTCTCGCCAACTATTGCTTATACAACTATTGCTAACGCATAGTGATAAAGCAGAGCAATTACATGGCGTTTGCGTTTCATACAATAAAGCGACAACCATAAGGCTCCTACGAGTTGTTGATAACTTCTACAAAACATGATCATCTCATACAATAACGTATATCACATCATGTCTTGCCCATATCACATCACAACATGCCCTGCAAAAACAAGTTAGACGTCCTCTACTTTGTTGTTGCAAGTTTTACGTGGCTGCCACGGGTTTCTAGCAAGAACCGTTCTTACCTATGCATCAAAACCACAACGGTGTTTATCAAGTTTGATGTTTTAACCTTCAACAAGGACCGACTGCAGTCAAATTCGATTCAACTAAAGTAGGAGAAACAGACACCCGCCAGCCACTTTATGCAAAACTAGTTGCATGTCTGTCTGTGGAACCGATCTCATGAACGTGGTCATGTAAGGTTGGTCCGGACCGCTTCATCCAACAATACTGCCGAATCAAAATAAGACATTCGTGGTAAGCAGTATGACGATCACCGCCCACAACACTTTGTGTTCTACTCGTGCATATCATCTACGCATAGACCTGGCTCTTGATGCCACTGTTGGGAAACATAGCATGCAATTTCAAAAAATTTCCTACGCTCACACAAGATCTATGTAGGAGATTCATAGCAATGAGAGGGGGAGAGCGTGTCTACGTACCCTCGTAGACCGAAAGCGGAAGCATTTGACAACACGGTTGATGTAGTCGAACTTCTTCTTGTTCCGACCGATCAAGCACTGGACGTACGGGACCTGCAAGTTCTACACACGTTTAGCTCGATGACGTTCCTTGAACTCTTGATCCAGCAAAGTGTCGAGGGAGAGTTCTGTCAGCACAACGGCGTTGTGACGGTGATGGTGAAGTGATCCGCGCAGGGCTTCGCCTAAGCACTATGAAGATATGACCAGAGGTGTAATCTATGGAGGGAGGCGCCGCACACGGCTAACAGATGTTGTTGTGTGTACTAGGCGCCTCCCCCCTCATATATATATATATAGGTGGGAGGGAGAGGGAGCAGCCAAGGGGGCGCCCAAGTAGGAGGAATCCTACTTGGCGCCCTAGTGCAATTCGCCCCTCCTCCTTACCATAACTTCCGGGGGGAAGGAAGGAGGAGGGAGGAGGGAAGGAAGGGGGAGGCCGAATCCCCCCTTCCTTTCTCTCTCTCTCTCTTTCCTTCCCCTCCAGGTTCGGCCTATATGGGGGCGCAACAGCCCATGCTGGCTGCTGCATTTCCCCTCTTGGCCCATTACGCCCATATCTTTGTCAGGGGGTGCCCGGAACTCCTTTCCGGTGACCCGATATGTACCCGGTACCCTCGGAACATTTCCGATGTCCGAATACCATCGTCCTATATATCAGTCTTTACCTCTCGACCATTTCGAGACTCCTCGTCATGTCTGCGATCTCATCCGGGACTCCGAATAACATTCAGTCACCAAATCACATAAATCATATAACACTAAATCGTCATCGAACATTAAGCGTGCAGACCCTACGGGTTCGAGAACTGTGTAGACATGACCGAGACACCTCTCCAGTCAATAACCAACAGCGGAACCTGGATTCTCATATTGGTTCCCACATATTCTACGAAGATCTTTATCGGTCGTACTGTAATGACAACATAAGTTATTCCCTTTGTCATCGGTATGTTACTTGCTCGAGATTCGATCATCGGTATCTTCATACCTAGTTCAATATCGTTACCGGCAAGTCTCTTTACTCATTCTGTAATACATCATCTCATAACTAACTCATTAGCCACATTGCTTGCAAGGCTTATTATGATGTGCATTACCGAGAGGGCCCAGAGATACCTCTCTGATATTCGGAGTGAAAAATCCTAATCTTGATCTATGCCAACCCAACAAACACCTTCGGAGATACCTGTAGAGCATCTTTATAGTCACCAAATACGTTGTGATGTTTGATAGCACACAAGATATTCCTCCGGTATTCGGGAGTTGCATAATCTCATAGTCGAAGGAATATGTATTTGACATGAAGAAAGCAATAGCTATAAAACTGAACGATCAACATGCTAAGCTAACGGATGGGTCTTGTCCATCACATCATTCTCCTAATTATGTGATCTCGTTATCAAATGACAACACATGTCTATGGTTAGGAAACTTAACCAGCTTTGATTAACGAGTTAGTCTAGTAGAGGCTTACTAGGGACACGGTGTTTTGTCTATGTATCCACACATGTATCAAGTTTCCGGTTAATACAATTCTAGCATGAATAATAAACATTTATCATGATATAAGGAAATATAAAATAGCAACTTTATTATTGCCTCTAGAGCATATTCCTTCATGGGCTTGCGGTATATCACAGTGCAACTTGCAATGGTTAGTTTTTGGGCTGGGATGTGCATGACCTTAATTTGTTGGGTTGGGATAATATCTCCAATTTAATTAAAAAAATTGGGTTGATCGGGTGCCAGGGGTACAAACCCCAATTTCCCAAATAAAATTCAGGTTTCTAGAGTTACCACCCAAACAGGCTCTCATGTTTTTCGGGTTTGGGTAGTGCGGGTTTGGATTCAGGTAATTGAGGTTTGAGCTTCGCGTATCGGGTTTTATGCCCAGCCAGGAGCACCGCCGCATGTTGTTCCAACGTGACGGATGTGTCCGGGCGTCCCAATATCCGCCCCACATATGGGCCGGGTATGGGGGTTGCCGGTCAGTCCGGACATTTGGGTTGCCTTTGGGGCTGCCGATTGGGTGTTTGTTTCTTCTATTCGGGCATTGCCAGGCAGGTCACCCAGGCATTTGAGGCGGATATGGGTTGCCCAGTTGTAGATGCCCTTAGGTATATAGGTTGCTGTACACGACAAATTTTTGGCGTGGCCACACTTTTAGAGTATTTAGCAAAAAGCCACTCCCCATATCCGCCCAGATTACAGGTTTGTGCCCCCTCGGATTTACCACTTTTAATCGATGGTAAAAGAACTACCATATTTGCTCTATTTTTGCAACAAACTACCACTTCGCAACATCTTTTCTCAAAACTAATAGTGATTATGAGAGAAATAGTCCACCAGTCAGGTCCATGTGGCAATGAAAGTCAACACCGTTTGTCTGACCGATACGCTAGACATTATGATATGTGGGTCCCACATGTCAGTTCTATCTTCTTCCTTAAAATTCCCCATGGAGGCCTCCCGCCAAAGCTAATCCGCCGTCCTGCCTCACTCCCACTGTCCCTCCGCCACCGGCTTCAAGGGCCTTGCCAGGCTGCCCGGTGGCCACGCTCAGCCGCCACCCAGCATATGTCGGTGTCGACAACTGCGGAGCCCACGGTCATGAGGACCATGGCGTATCGGTCGGCAAACATGAGCGACCATGGCGGAGGTTGGTAGGTCGGAGCACATGTGGAATAGGCGACGGGGCTAGTGACCGTGGCGGCCAACAAGGATCGCGTGACGACGGCGGCCTCGACACAACGCGACGACAACCAGTGGAGCTTGTGCGACGGTCATGGCGCTGCACGGGGGGTTAGTCTTCTTCTGCTCCTGAGCTCAAATGAGCCCGGGATGAACAGTAAAATCCCCCAAAAAATCCTCATTTTTTTGGCAAACTTTAACAAATATTTTGTGTGCTTGACAAATTTTAGCACTAATAACATTCGTGAAAGTCATGGAAAGAACCAGCACTCCAAAATGTTTTGTCATGGCAATAAAATGAAATAAAACCATAACTCTAAAATGTAAAAAAAATGCATTACAGAAGCATCAATTTTTTTTTCATGACTTCCACGAATGTTATTTGAAGATAATTTTTTCAAGAACACAAAAACATTTGTCAAAATTTATCACAAAATAATTTCAGAGTTCTTTTGATTTCTTTTACTATTTTTCGATTTTACTATTCATTAGTGAGTATTTGAGTTCGGAAGCAGATACTCCGCGTAACGTAACCCGTAACGCAGGGTTCGCGACCATGGCCGGCGCCTGCGCCCACCTCCCAGTATGGATCTAGTACACTGGCGGCCGGCAGCCGCCGACGAGCAACTCGTGCTCCGGCACACATACAAGATGATTGAGGAAATGTTCCACAGATAAAATGTTTTGATGGGAAGAGAGTTGCAGGTCAATTCTTTTTTGAAAGTTGAAGGTCAATTTAACAGTCGGAGTTGACTTTTGTACCACTCCAGCCCTGATCAGTTATTAGCAGCACGTGGTAGTTTTATGGAAAAAATATGATAAAAGTGGTAGGCTTTTTTTTATCACCAGTTAAAAGTGGTCGTTGCGGTAGTTTTTTTTTTGTGCTAAATACTCATGTTTTTTCATATCTGTTGGAGGTGGTGTAGGAAGGGGATCACACTTTTTTTACCACCTTCGCCCCCGATGCCACCTTCTCCTGTTGGCCTCATCCCACAGCTCAGCAGCAGCCCAGCCCCTCCTCCGTCTCCATTTCTTTTGTCCTCTCTCTCTCTCTCTCTCTCTCTCCTCTCTCTCTCTCTCTCTCTCGGTGTTAAAACGCGGCCGCCGTACGCGCATTGCCTCCTTCCTTCCGAGCAGTCGCTGGCTCGCTTCGATTCTTCTCCTTCTCTCCTCTTGCCGGGGCGTTCTTGGAGGGGGACTGTAGCTAGCCTAGCAGTGTTCTTGGAGCTGCTGCCGGTGGAGGTCTGCAATGGGGAGGAGCGGCCATGCCTGCTCCGTTCTTGGATCGCTGCTGCTGCTGCTGCTGCTGCTGCCGGGCCCAGCCGCTGCGCAGAAGGGCTCGGCCTGGAAGACGCTGAGTGGTATACAAGCTGCACTTGCCTGTGCTCCCCGTTTGTTTGCTTAGTCTGTGCGTCTGCGATCTGATTCTGATCTGGGTTGACTTTTTCTGCGATTCTTAGTTCATAAGCTCGCATCTTGCTTGCGATTTTTGATTCGGCTTCGATGTATGGGTTGGATCTTTAGGATTAAGACGGGGCGACTGCCCGGTCTTGCTCAACCTTCTGCTGTTTCTTCAAGAGCATGGCCTTGCCGAAAGTTTCAGGGCTCGAGATTTCTGATTGGAAGCTTGGGGGCCGGCCATGATGCCTCCTTTTAAATTATTTGCATATAATATGAAATTTTGGCACAGCCGTGGGCGGTAGGGTAGCCTCTTCTGCCGAATGCCATTTGGTTAGGATACGACAGCAACATCTTTGTGACTAATTCAGATGACGTAGTCAACGCTTCTTACCGCGTGAATGTTCATCGGCTGTTCTTGGGTTAGGTTAGATCACTAGCTGCTGGCGTTTACTGTTCATCGACTGCTTATGGAGCAGGGGATTGTTTGCCCAGTTCGGTAGATGTCAATTTCAAGGATTGATTTCCTTCTTGATGCATCAATTACAGTGGTCGATCATTTAATTGGCCATGCATGTAAAAATACAGTAGATTTATACCACCACCCTGGTATAGTTTTTTTACGGAGTTTCTGCTGTGGCAATACATTTATGAAGTATTAGTCGGACAAAAAGTTACATCTATGAAGCTATGATCCATCCATTGTTCCTCCTGGCTGTTCTCAAGCCTAACACTCACCTCATTGTTTCAGGCGATGCTCCAGCAGTCATAGCTAAGGGTGGTTTCTCGGGCCTATTTCCCGACTCCAGTGACCCTGCTTATTTGTTTGCTGCCAGCAATCAGGATTCAGCCCAGTGGTGCGATGTTCGGTTAACCAAGGATGGCGTTGGCATCTGCCTTCCAGACATAAAAATGGATAACTGCACAACCATATCCGATCTTTTCCCAAAGGGAAAGAAGACCTACCGTGTCAACGGTGTGTCCATGACGGGGTGGTTCTCTGTGGACTATAACAGCATTGACCTGACCAATGTAACTTGTAAGTGCAAATGCAGCTTGCAGTTCTAATGTTTTGAGCATCTTCATTGCATCTTTCTCTTGCTTGATTAGCATTGTTGCCTTTCCTTGTCTAACCCAAACTTACTATTTGTTACAGTGCTGCGAGCAATCTTGTCTCGTACAAATAGGTTTGATGGAAGCTTCACGCTAGTTCAAGTTGAAGTTGCACTGTCGCAATATAAGGCCCCTGCTTGGTTGAATGTTCAGGTACATCAAACTTTGATTACTTTCAGTGCACTACAATTGAAGTGATCTTCTCTTATAGTCTGTCTTGTTTGTGCAAAACTCAGCATGACAGTTTCTACAGCCAGTTTAATCTGAGCATGAGAAGCTATATCCTGTCTATGTCAAAGCAATACACGGTTGACTACATCTCATCCCCTGAAGTGAGTTTCCTCAAAAGTCTAGTTGGAAGAGTTGGCAGGAAGACAAAGCTTGTGTTCCGTTTTCTTGATGAAGGCCTTGTCGAGCCATCTACAAATCAGACATATGGCTCAATGCTGAAAAATCTATCATCCATCAAGACTTTTGCTTCTGGAATACTTGTTCCCAAACACTATATCTGGCCTGTTACGGCAGATAATTATCTGCAACCCTCTACTTCAGTCGTGGATGATGCTCATAAGGCAGGCTTAGAAATTTATGCTGCTGATTTTGCCAACGACTTTGCACTCAGCTACAACTACAGCTATGATCCGTTAGCAGAATATCTTCGCTTCATCGACAATGGTGCCTTCTGTGTTGATGGTCTCTTGACTGATTTCCCTATCACTCCGTTAGAGGCCATCGGTGAGTCCACATTATATGATCTCTTCACAATGCTATAAATGTTCCTTCAAGAAGCTCACACACCCAAGCGGCCACTTTGTCAGGACAATCTTTCATCTTTTATTGACTCTGTTCTAATCATGAAATAATCCACTTTCAACTTTTGGTATTTGTATATTTGAACAAGTTGGAATATTAGTTTGGATCATGGCTTGTCTGATCTTGACTATTGATTTGTTCTATGTTTTGTTGCTGCAGGCTGCTTCAGTAACCTGAACAACACCAAGGCAGATCATGGTATGCCTCCTTCCTTTCTTTATCCATTCTTAACTCCTCAATTTTACTGTTATTGACCTCCGGATTTCACATTTACATTGCAGGGGCACCTCTAGTTATCTCCCACAATGGTGCTAGTGGTGACTACCCTGACTGCACTGACCTAGCTTATCAAAAGGCAGTTGTTGATGGTGCAGATGTCATTGACTGTGACGTTCAAGTGACAAAAGATGGCATACCAATATGCATGAGTTCCATTGACCTAATGGATGTCACTACTGTTGCATCCTCACAATTTGCTTCTCAAGCGGGTGTCATAAGTGACATTAAGGCTGTTGCTGGAGTCTATACCTTCAACCTCACTTGGGAGGACATTGCCAACAACCTGAAGCGTAAGTCAGTCTGAACTCTATTAGTAAATCTGATTGCAGTATTTTTCTCTCTTGAGAAAACGCAAGAGGCAAGAGCCTTGCGCATCATTTCATTGCAAGGGAGGCTGGGAATGGGAGGGAACTGAGAAATGAAAAAACACAACACATGCAAAATTAGTGGACATCCCAGGACTTTGTTTTTTTTTTCGAAAAGGGGTTTACCCCAGCCTCTGCATCAGAACGATGCATACGGCTCATATTATTAAAAGCATAATCCAGTAGCAAAGTCGCCAAGTATCGAGGTGCGAAAATAAACAAAAGGCTCGAAAGAGCTACAGCCCAAAACCACAACCGGCTGGCAAACACAATAGGAGCACTACATGCCTATCCTATTACATGACCGCCATCCAAACCGGTTGAAAATATCCCGCGCTACCATCTCCCATCGGGTAGACGCAGTAACCAAACGCTCCCTGGCCTCCGTCGGAGTGAGTAGCGACCACATACGGATGAACGCCGTGGCCCTGAAGATAACCTGCAAAAAGTGGTAATAGCCGTATTCCTTTGCAGATAAGAAACAGTTTATTAGACAGTAAGTTATGTGTGTAATTCCGTTTCCTTCCATTAACTAAAAACAATAGTAAGTTATGCACGATCATGCCATGCCATGCCATTTCATTGTTGTACAAAACGAAACAAAAAATCAATCGTCTGGTGAAGAATTGATTGTCCATCTATGGAGTTACTTGCACTCGTGGATCACTTACTCGAATACTGACATTTCCGTGTTCACAGCTATGATATCAAACCCATTTGGCCAGATTAGCCTATCAAGAAATCCCAGAAACAGGAACGCCGGAAAATTCATGAGATTATCAGACTTCTTGGCTTTTGCAAAAGGAGAAGATTTGTCAGGAATCATGATTACTGTGGAGGTAAGCATGCATTTAAATATGCTGCAAACCCATAATTGTGTGATGTACTCTTCCCATTTCCTGCATCTCTCGTTGAGTCGGCTAGCAAAAAGATGGTTGTTAGTTGGAAAAAATGATACTAATACTGAGCGATTGATTGGATTTTTTGCAGCATGCTTCATTCATGGCAGAGAAACTTGGGTTTGGTGTGGTAGATGCAGTGATCAAAGCTGTCGATGATTCCGGTTACAGCAAACAGACCGCCAAGAAAGTGATGATCCAGTCAACAAACAGCTCAACTCTGGTGAAGTTCAAGCAGCTGGCCAAGTATAACCTTGTGTACAAGATCGACGAAGTCGTGAAAGACGCCGCGCCTTCCTCCCTCGCAGACATCAAAAAGTTTGCGGATGCTGTTTCTGTCAGCACCAAGTCCGTTTACCCAGAGTCGAGCAATTTCCTGATAAACCAGACGAACCCTCTCGTCAAGTCCCTGCAGTCTGCTGGTCTTCCAGTCTATGTGTATCTGCTGAGGAACGAGTTCTTTTCTCAACCGTACGACTTCTTCTCAGACGCCACGTCACAGATCAACGCCCTTGTGCACAAAGGGGGAGAGGGAGGCGGAGTGGATGGACTCATCACCGATTTCCCCGGGACGGCTCACAGATACAAATGTGCGTGCCCAACATTTTTCATCCAGTTCACCATGCATGTAGTGTTATCTTGTGAGTGAGTTCTTCTTGTGTTTGCGCAGTGAACTCGTGCAGGAACATGGGGGACAAGACGCCCTACTACATGCTGCCTCCCCAGCGCGGCGGCCTCCTTGGGGTCATACAGGATAAAGCAGCATTGCCACCAGCAATGGCCCCAGAGCCGGTGTTGACTGTCTCCGACGTGGCGGAGCCGCCCCTTCCTCCTGTGAGCAACACCACAGCTCCAGCGCCCTCCCACGCCGCCGTCGATGTCTCCGTCTCCATCCCGATCACTGTGGCGGTGCTAGTGCTATGCGCTTCTCTGCTTATCTGAGGACCACTAAGTCATTCTTTTAATGCCACCCGTTCTATTCTATGTAGCGAGCGATTCGTTTTTCCTTTTGCTTTGGGTCTCATTTGGGGTGGTGGATGTTGAGGTTAAATGATGATTCATGCCTGGATGGTGGCACTTACTTATGTCCCTAGTTAAAACAACATTCTGGTAAATACCACTCTATGATTGTTAAAGAGGAGAAGTGATGCATTCAGCTCCCAAGAGTCTAGAGTTGCGGTCCCAGACCAGATTTTGATGTGGGAACTCAGAGAGAGTACCAGATCGGACGGCCGTCAGATTGACATCTGACGGCGAGATGCTCTTATTGCGCCTATGGCCGCCGGTTGCTTGTGTCGCCACGGCCACAGCCGTTTTGGTTTGTCTCCAATGATCCAATCTCGAATGTCGTCTGCCTCTACGCCCACGCCCACGGCCGTGGCGCGGCCGGCCGGGAGGTACGCCGTGTACGTCGCGGCCGTGCCGCTGAGGGGCCCTCAGGGTCCGGCCCAGGCCCTGATGTCTTCGGCCTACTCGCTGGGTCTGTGGGACCTTCAGCACTTCATGGTGCTCCTCCGGCCCGACCCTGCCCGAACCCGAACCCAGGTGAGGGAAGGAAATCCATCCGTCCTTTTCGACTCCGCAAGATGTTCAGAGGGCGTTTGGCTTGGCTGGCTTGCAGGTGCAGGAGCCGGAGCCGTCGTTGGTGTTCGATTTCCAGCCTCTCGACCCGGAGGATGCTCTCGCCGCCTTCTCCGTGCTCTCGCGGAGCAAAATACCGGGTAGCTAAGCCGCCGGCGTCGGCCTCTCTGCCTGCTTGCTTGGAATTTTCTTTTTCTTTGCCAAGAAACGGAAGCAGAATTCTTTAGTGATTCATCTTGTCTGCGACGACGGGCGGACAGGGGTGGTTCGGAGGAGAACGCTGCGGCGGATCCCTGACAGGAGGAGCTGGTTCGTCGGCCTCAGCGACGGCGGCGCCGCCGACGCCGCCGAGAGGTTCAGCGAGCGATGGCCGACCGACCTGGTCGTCGGGAACCACGACTGCCGAGACTACACCAACGGTTGGCAGCCACAATTGCCGCTTTACTTACACAACATTGCTGCCATCTCTTCTTTTCATCATCTCAATCTTTTCTTTCTCTGTGTGTGTGCGCGCATGATCTCCTTCGCAAGGGCTGGTGGAAGTCTTGACAGGACAAAAACGCGTCCTCGACTCGCTGAGATCAGCAGGCCGCCAATGAGGCCGCGCCATCATGGGGTGGGCCGGACTGCTTTCTTCTACCTTTCCTTCTTTCTGTTGCACTAGCGTTGTTTACTGAATCTTGCTCCAGACATCGTCTCGAAATATTCGTCATGTATTAGTAATTTTTATTATGTATACATATGCGTCAATGGTGCCATATGGTTGAAAGAGACAGGCTTGGATGATTAGGTTAGGTTGATTCACTCTTCTGTTGCTTGTCCGACGGAGCTCATCATGGTTCTTGTGTTACTGTTTTCCAGAGATAAGTTGCAATTTCTTTAAGGAGAAATAAGTTGCCGTTTCACTTTGCAGATATATGAGGATTCCGACTGCTCACGCTCATCTGTGAATTCTTCTAATCCTAGACCAAGAAAACGTACTGCCTGCAACTACTAATGAAACGCATCAGCCTTCTCGGACAAAGGTGTGGCATAAATAAGAAATGCACTTTGAGGAATTCCTCGGCTGGAGCTTGAAGCAAAAGTAGAAAAACTAATCAATGTAACCAGGTGCTGGTTGCTGAGTATCTGGTAATTTGCTGTCAGTAGTTCTTTTACACATATTAATTTGCTATCAGTAGTAATTGAAGCAAAATGTTTACTAACAAAATGGAGGAAGCAATATCCAGTAGCACTTGGATTATATCATATGGCTTCAGCAAACAAACACAAATTTCTTCTGGATTCTGTTTTCGAAATGTGTTCCTAAATGAGAGACGTTTTTGCAGTTTCAATTGAACTGATTTAAGCTGCAAAAACGGCTTACATTTAGAAACACAGGGTGCAATTTCTTATATTCTTCTCCATTAGAAGTGGCAACTATACAACATCACCCACGACAATGAAAGCTCAAGCTTTTTGTGCATCTACCTGCTGACCCTAAGACCCAATGCCTTCCAAACAATGGCAAGTTGGTGTCTCAGGACATGATGAGCAAGTGCCATCGTTGGCTGTCCACCATTGGGCTCTGGCCCCACCTTCAGTTTCAAGAAACAACTAGTAGCACTGAAATGCTGATTGGCGTTTGCCGACTAGTTTGGACATGATGACAGAGACAAAAGGAATGTATCTGGGGGCTGACTATCTCCATTCTTCTTTCTCTCAAGTCTGACAACAGGAGGCTTATCGAGATCTCGTCAAATCGGAGGTCACAACTCACCAACCTAACAAGACAAGGTGATCTGCTGGGACATTTCATCCATGATGGATGGATGGATGGATGTGCGGTGCCCCTACCTACCCTGGGACTGCACCTTATCAACAAGGTAGCAACTCAAGCCCTGCGCAGGCAATCGATTAGCGTTGTGCCTGCCTACAACAGTGGAGGCAGACCCCAGTGTGTAATTAGCTGGCCACCCAAATACCGAAACCTAATCTGCACCGTGCTTTTACTTTCTGTCTGTAGCCAGCTGCAGAATTCCAGCATCTTTTCGGTAATCTTTCAGCTGCACAATCTAATTAAGCTAGCGCTACTTTGACTTGTGCTTGAATATAGATTAATCATGGTTGTGCAGTATTAATTCATCCTAATGTACTTATGTGCTCATTTTTTGTTTGCTTGGAGAAGACATGCTGACCATCCATTTTGTTTTGTATAAATGATTTCCATATCTCCTCGTCCTCCTAGTATTATACTTTCTCCGTTCAGAATTACTTATCGCGGAAATGAATGTATCTGGACTAAAATACGTCTAGATACATTTATTTTTGCGACAAGTAATTCCAGACGGAGGAAGTACTACTCAAGAACATCTCCATCTATGCCTCTAGAGCCTAGAAACTACTCATGACTAGCTTAGCCACTTGTGAAAACACAACCACTAAGCTAGGAGATTCAGACAAGCTCTTTTCAGTGTCATATTTAGATTCGCATCGCGTGGAAATTTGACGAAACACGCTATTACGGTCATTGTCGCGTATCCGAAGCGGGGTTGTTGGCAGGTTGTCGTGAAGTGGCACGATATTGGATATCTGGATACCACTATGCATACATGATCCTCACCTTCACTGGCCATCATGATCATGGTCACAGGCCATATATGCAGGCTGGGATCTCAAGTATCAGCCCTGAGGCCCGAATTTGATCTCGTATAACTGAAATCCTGCTTTTTGTCACACCCACTCATTTCTCTCCATGGTCAGCTCTTTGTACCATGATTGTGATGTCACAATGGCTTTCTAAATGTACGGACACCACAGCGTGCCTCTTAAACGTCGTGTGGTCAGGTGTCATTTGCGCCTACTACATGCTCAAGCGCTTGCTAGTGGTTATGTTCAGTGAGGAAGAGGTGGCCTGCCAAGGTCTGTGATTGTTTCGATCCGATCAGTGGGCAGTAGCCACCTGAAGCCTTGTGTTGCTGTGCTGAATTCACCAGCCCGGTGTACATCAAATTTAGAGTTAACCGAATTTAGCCTTTCAGAACTAGAGATTCGCTGCAGTGGTTCCCCATAAAGAGTTGGTCATACAACTGGTCTGACTCTGACAGAACAACATGAGTCTTGTTTGAGTTGTGTCGAATATAGTGTACAAGGTAGGTTATAGTTAGACTTGTAGTTGTATTGTGTTTAGATAGGATATGGAGTCGTGTTCAAGTAGGACACTTGTATCCTAGGCCTCTCATATATAGCGGGGCTAGACACACGATGTAACTTATGCCAACATAATAACACCGGAACGCAGGGGAAGCCGGCGGCATGTGCCGGTGTTCAGGACGACCAGGTGCGGTATTGTGACGGTGTCACGGGGAGGAGCGCCCGTAGTCAGGCCCCGGGGATGTAGTCATATCGGTGTCGTGCCTCGTGTGATTGCTTGGTCCTCGAATGATCAATGGTATGCCTCGGACTTATTCTAACAAGTGGTATCATAAGCAAGGTTCAAAAGAGGTCACGATTGTTGTTGATTTGGAGTGTAAGACAATAGGCTTTGGGGGGAACCGGCACAACCCACTAGGGGTGGCCTATCACATATATATATATATATATATATATATATATATAATGAGGTGGTATACAATGTTACAATATACACATGTAAATACAGTCTAACACCCTCCCTCAATCTTAGCCACTTTCTAATGAATCTAGAAGGGTAAGATTGCGCCTGCAAGTCTCAAACTGTGGCAAAGGCAATGGCTTGGTGAAGATGTCAGCAAGTTGATCCTTGGAAGAAATAAACTTGATCTGTAGTTGCTTCTGAGAGACACGTGCACGCACAAAGTGATAGTCAACTTCAATGTGTTTCGTTCGGGCATGGAATACCGGATTTGCAGAAAGGTATGTAGCACCGATGTTATCACACCAAAGAACAGGAGGCTGTGATTGGGGTATACTTAACTCCTAAAGCAAGGACTGTACCCAGATGATCTCTGATGTGGCATTGGCCACAGCCTTATACTCAGCCTCAGTACTGCTACGCGAGACAGTAGCCTGTTTCCGAGCACTCCAGGCAATCAGGTTAGAGCCAAAGAAGACAGCATAACCCCCCGTGGATCGCCTGTCATCCGGATTGCCAGCCCAGTCTGCATCAGAATATGCTGAAAGACAACCAGAGTCAGACGGCCGAATATGCAAACCATGAGCCACCGTGAAACGAATATAGCGCAAAATCCGCTTAACAGCAGACCAATGAGTGTCACGGGGTGACTGCAGATACTGGCAGACTCGGTTAACAGCATAGGAAATGTCTGGTCGCGTGATCGTCAAGTACTGGAGCCCACCAACAATACTCCTGTATTCTGTCGCATCAGAAGAAGAAAGAAGCACACCATCAACAGCATTGAGCTTATCAGTGGTAGACATGGGTGTAGTCGTCGGTTTGCACTTAAGCATCCCAGCTCGCTGCAACAAATCCAAAGAGTACTTCTTCTGCGTCATAACAAGGCCAGCAACACGAGAAGTAACCTCCACACCAAGAAAGTAATGAAGCTTCCCAAGGTCCTTGACCGCAAAATCAGCACCAAGTGAGCGAACAAGCGTAGTAGCAGCCGACTGAGAGGAGCTGACCAAAATGATATCATCTACATAGACCAACAAGTACATAGTAACCTCAGGCCTTTGAAGAAGAAACAATGAGGAGTCAGCAGTTGATGATGCAAAACCATGAGCACGAAGAGCCATTGCAAGACGAGCATGCCAAGCACGAGGAGCCTGCTTCAGACCATAAATTGCCTTGGACAGACGACAGAGATGATCAGGGCGATCCGGATCAGAGAAACCCGGAGGCTGGCGCATGTAAACCTCCTCCGCCAAGACACCATGAAGAAAAGCATTTTGAACATCAAGCTGACGAAGAAACCAACCTCGAGTAACAGCCAGAGAGAGAAGAAGTCTGATGGTAGTAGGCTTGACCACTGGACTGAAGGTGTCTTCATAGTCAAGTCCAAAACGCTGTCGAAAACCACGAGCAACCAGACGAGCCTTATAGCGCTCAATGGACCCATCAGAATGCCTCTTCACTTTGAAAACCCATTTGGAATCAATGACATTTACCCGTGATTGTGGAGGAACAAGAGTCCATGTCTGATTGCGAAGAAGCGCTTGATACTCCTGCTCCATGGCCTCTCTCCAATGAGGAATGCACATAGCAGCTTGATACGTGCGTGGCTCAAAGGATGGATCTGCGAGAGCAGCAGACATGCACGCTGCTAACCAAGCAACTGTGCCATCGTGACGTTGCTTAGGCTGAAAAATGCCACTCCGACTGCGCGTATGTGGACGTAGAGCAGCAGCAGGAGCCGGCGGAGGCGAAGGTGACGGAGACGTGACGGTCGCCGGAGATGCAGGAATCACCTCAGGCGAGCTCGGGACAGACGACTCCGGGCTGCATGGCGAAGACTGGCCCGACAACAGGGGCTCAGAGGCCATGGGCGAACCGAGAGTGGGCGAGGCCAGCTCCGGTGACACCGGCCCAGACGGCCTTGGCGAGGCGAGAGCAGGCGAGGCCGGCCCTGGTGAGAAGGGACCAGACACCCTGGGCGAGGCAGGGGCGGGCGAGGCCAGGCCGGGTGATGACTGCCCCGACGCCCTGGGCGAGACGGGAACCGAGGAGGCCGGCCCAGTCGGCGG